TATGGATCAATATAATTCTTTTTTTTGTAGATGCATGATGTCTTTACCTATCATTTGGTATATTTTTTTTATAAATCTGACTTTTTACCTGCCTACAGGGGGGGATTCAAAATGACAACTTTTTCACAAAAAATTGACTTTTTCAACTTAAATTTTGAAAGTGTTCCGGAAAGTCTGACACTTTTATATATATCTTAAATTAAAGCTAATGTAATCTACTTTATTATGTAAAAAAAAAATTTCGGACTTTATTTTGTCTTCACGGTGAAAATAGCTACCAAATGCTATTATTTTGTGAAAATTCTCAATTTTATTTTTTACATTTTTAACTTTATAATGCTATAACTTATTGAAAAGTGTATTGATCAATACAATTTTTTTATGAGAAATAATATTTTTTAATAATCTCTTTTTCATTCGACATACTTTATCTTAATCAGGATATTAATAAGGAACTAGCAGATCATGTAGCTTTTGAAATAATCCACCAATTTTTTAAAATTAAACACTATCTAAAGATTTGCATCGAAGCGTTTTTTTTTTTGATAGTGATTTTAATCACTGTCAGATATCATTATACTTGATCCAATTATGCCACGTCACCACTGTGCCGCGACCCCCCTGTGCTGGGTTTTTTTAAAAAATAGTAATAATATCAAAACTTAGAATTTATAAAAAAAAATCTAATTAAAGATTTGAAAACAGCACGAAAAGTTGATTTAGAAAAGTATATTTTTGCTTCTGATGAAAGTTTTTTGTAGACCAATGTATTTAATCATAATTAAAAAAAAATTTTATTGGAAAGTATTGCATCATGCGCTTTAAATTTTAATATACGTTAAAAGTAAAGAAATATACAACTACTTTATTATTTTTCTTATTTCTCCGTATAAATTAGAATATTAAATTATTGAATATCAATTTCACACTATATTTAATAACTGTAATTAGTATTTATTCATACATAATACTTATAATTCATAAAATTCGTGATCACGATATAAATAAGGAAATAGAAGTTCATTTTGCTTTTAGAATAATCCATCAATTTTTTTAAATTAAACACGATCTACAGATTTGCATCGAAGCGTTTCTAATGATAGTAATTTTATTCACCGTCAGGTATCATCTATACTTGTCCCATCTATGCCTCATCCACACTGTGCTACCGTTTTTTTTTAATTCATTTTTTATACATTAAATGCAATTCTTATATATTATAAATCATAAAACTTTTAATCAAGATATAATTAAAGAGTTCATATTTCTTTTGAAATAATTTCTTTTTAAATCCCTTTAATTAAATTCATATTAAAAATTAAACTATCAACGGATGGAAGGTGTTTATTATTATATTGGTCTTAATCACTAGAATATATCACAGATATCATCTAAACCTGCCCCAATTATGCCGCGTCACCATTGTGTTTAATTTGTTTTTCAATAAAATAACTAACTAGGCATTTATCAGAAAGCTGGAATGTAATAAATTACAAAAACATAAAGAATATCACATTATAAATAAGACACAAATCAAAATTTAATTAACAGATAAAATATATGACTATAAACGCTGAAGTTCATTAGATCAATAGTAATTTATAAGATACACAAGTCATTAACTTCTGATTGAAATATTAGACTTTAACTTGTCAGTATAGTAGTGATGAAATTTAATTTATCTGTATCAACAGTATTAAATATAAATATTAAAAACAAAAAGTACAAAATTGTTTTGGGTAAATGATTTGACTGAAACGTAAAATAAATTAATTCTGCCTATTTCATAATTTCAAAACATTACTATAATACTTGTACAGATCAAACATTTTTAATTTATTCTATCAAATCCTAAATCTCTAAATTCCGTGGTAATGAAATCTTCACAAAGCGTATTTAACGCCTTACAAGCCTCCTTAAAATTTTTAAAAGGATTTCTTGTTAAATTATCAATATTTAAAGATGTTCCACTTTTTTGGGTAATCGATAAAAGATCTTTTTTGGAAAAAACAGGTTTTTCATGATAGAAACAACAATTTATTTGAACTTGGTTTATATTTTTTATGACAACTTGTAAAGAATATTTTACACTTTGCACATCATTAAAATATTTGTCTGCTACTTCTTTTAAATTTATATTCTCTGTGTTAGCAAAAACATCTCGTAACAAGTTTTTTTCATCCATCCAGTTAATTATATAATTTACTATGTCTTTAATTGGTGATAAACAATAAAATTTTTTGTTAACAAGCCAAATTGATGCCTGTTTTAATTTTTCCATTGCCGTATTTATATAACTAAAAAAATTCAGAGTTCCTCCAATAACCATTGCTAAATCTTTTACACAGTCAATGTATGTTTTTGGATTTTTCCAAATCTTAATATTTACCTTTTCTTCTTTACAAAATTCTACAATTTGATATAAATATGAATTAAATTTTTTTAATATATCAAAAAATCTACATTTTAATAGTAGAGTGAAATACTGCTTTTTGAGACGAAAATTGTTTATATTTGCATGATCTCTCAGCACACGATTAGCACTTAGTACTTGATTATCATACTTTATATATAAATGTTCCATAGTCTTCCAGTTCCCTTCATTGAGTAGAATATTCAAATTTTCTATTCCCTTTTCTTGTGAAATAGAATCAAGTCGAGGTAAATTTAATAAATAACACCTGCAGAAAAAATAATCAATTTAAAATGTATTATTTCTTAAAGTTTATAATAATTTTAATTATAGTTTTTGAAAATATGATGGAAAAATTTATTATTATAATAATTTGTTTAATAATTTTGAAAAATCGTACGCGGAATCGTGTCAAAAGGAAGTTTAAGATAAGGGTGCCGATCTCAAGTATTTGGATTAAGGCTAGGAGAAGAAGAGAAAAAAAATGTTACCATAATTCCTTAAGTGATAATATTAAATTTCTCTTTTACAACAATACTAAAATGTACAAGTTTTTTTTGTAAAATGTTAAATTATTACTGCTGTTAAATTTGTTACTTGTGTGTGAAGTACTAAGAAAATTTACAAAAAATTCAAGTAAGAGTTATTTTGATATAATTTTGGATATTCGACCTTATTTCATATAGATTTACCTAAATTTTACTAAATTTAATCCATATTTTTACAAATTTCAAAGCTAATTTTTACTATATATTTTAAGTAATTCTAAAAATAAGAATTATATAATTACTTCCATATGTCACATTCAATTTAAATTAAGTTGGATACTTATTAAATATAACGATTTATTTACAAAATTATTTTTGATTGAATGCCATTCAACGACAATCTTCTTAAATATACGCTCAAAAACTAAGTTGATAGATGAAAATGTAAATTAGATCAGTTCAATTCTATTTTACTCCAACCAGCATTATATAAAAGTTCAATTATATTTTAAAATACTGGTCCAAAAGTCGTTATCTAACAGCTATCTTCTTATTTTTAATTAAACACGTGTATTTCCATTTAAAAATACTTAAGTTAATACTAATTTTATAGTGTGGAAGAGTGATAGGAACATTTTTTTTAATTATAGAACCTGGGGCACTATTAACTTCTAAAAAGACAAAATTATATATTTATAATATGTGTTATGACTTAAATGATATAACGTGAGGAGGTTGAAGCAAGTTGACAATTATATGTTTTAATTGAAACTCTTAAAAATTGCATTAATCACGAACAATTTTAATTTAGTAAAAATAAAGCTTATTTATTAATTAATACTCCTAGATAATTATTAGAAGTATTTTTTTTTTACAAAAATCAAGCTAGCTCAACTAAGTATAAGTAAATAAATTAATACATGGGAATTTCATATAAAAATAATGAAAAAAAGCAACTTTCTCCGTTTTGTTTTGAATCAAATTTCTCATAGTACACTCCTAATTTGAATAAGTCTTATAATTTCATATACATTGTATTTATTATGTTTTTCTTTAGCTATAGCAATTTGCAATATAAAAAAATGTATTTATTTTCTCACTCTAATCTTTAATTTAATTTTGATTGGTATAGATAAAAACGAGTAATATTTTTTTTATAACTTTAATAAAACATTCTATAAACAGGTATATTTAAGTTTTAAATAGCATATCCTATGCATATAATTTTAATATACTCGTATTTCAGCACTTTTATTTATTGCACCAACTGTACATAGGGTGATTCATTAAGAATAGGACACTCATTTTCTCGGTATCTATTGAAAATTTCAAATTTTTGGTAAAAAAAATTATTTCTATTATTATAAATTTCTATTACTATTTTACTGTAAAAACAGTAAAATAATAAAAGAAATTTAGTCCATAATCATTTAACTTTAACAAGCTGTAACAGACAAACAGTTGAAAAAACTTATAGTAGCAAAGTTGTTTGTATTTTTATTTTAAATCAAAATTACACATTCAAAATGGACGTTCCCATTTAAGAAAATTCAAATTAATGTTTTTTAACCTTGAAGGAATGAAAAAAATTATGTTTTTACTACATATTATTGTAGAGTTCTTTGAATTAAACAATATTTTCCTTACCAAAAATTTAAAATTTTCTATAGTAACTGAGAAAATGAGTGTATTATCCATAATGAATCACCCTCTATATTTTGAATGCTCAAAAAAAAAAATGTACATAAAAAACTTAAATAAATAGTTGACTTATTGGTAAATCTATTCCTATTATTATTTATATATTTAAATGTTAAGCACTGAAAATAAAATGTCAGGTGTTTAATTATTGAAGATTTAATAACTTCAGATACATAAAAAACATTTACTTATTCACTTTGTTTCTTTACTCAATTGAACATTAACTTAAAATATGAAAACTAGACACCCCAAATTTTTGAATAATATGAGTTCGCAACACATATGAGCTGGTAGTATAGTAAATTTTAATGTTTAATCAAATTTTTACTTATTAAAGATAAATTATGGTATCATAAGAATAATAAAAATAAATTGATTCAAAAAAGTATTTAAATAAGCTTTCATATATATATATATTTTTAGCTTCGATGCGAAGCTGAGAAGGTATTGGTTTTACTATGATGTGTTTATTTATTTATTTTTTTTTTTTGTGTCTGTTACCACTTTTTCTCAGCTCTCACCTAACGGATTTCTTTCAACGATACGTCAAAAGATCACAAATCGTATGTAGTCGAAGACATTACCCTTCAAAATTGAAAAAAATTCCCTCGTTCCCCGTAAAAGGGGAAACCTCCGAAAAAATTACAAATTTAAAAATCGCTAATTTACTAAACACTACCTTAACTTTTTCAAAAATGAACATATCAATATAATTGTCATATCAATATAATGGTCGCGGCACAGTGGTGACGTGGCATAGTTAGATCAAGTATAATGATATCTGACAGTGATTAAAATCACTATAAAAAAAAANACATATCAATATAATTTTTTTTTATAAAGATGCATAATATTATTAACTTTCATTTGGTATATTTTTTTCATAAATTTAACCCTTAACCTGCCCACAAGGGGGGATTTAAATTGACAACTTTTTCACAAAAAATTAATTTTTTTAACTTAAATTTTGAAAATGTTCCGGAAGGTCTGACACTTTTATATATATCNCAAAAGCTACATGATCTACTAGTTCCTTATTAATATCCTGATTAAGATATAGTATGTCAAATGAAAAAGAGATTATTAAAAAATATTATTTCTCATAAAAAAATNTAAAGTTAATGTAATATGCTTTTTCATGAAAAAAAAAAATTTCAGACTTTATCTTATCTTCATGGTGAAAAAGGCTACCGAATGCTATTTTTGTGTGAAAATTTTCGATTTTGTATTTTCCATTTTNAGTTTAAAGTAAAAAATGTAAATTATAAAATCGAGAAATTTCACACAAAAATAGCATTCGTTAGCCATTCTCACCACGAAGACAAGTCCAGAGGTCAAATTTTTTTTTTTCATAATAAAGTACATTACATTAGCTTTAATTAAAGATATATATAAAAGTGTCAGACCTTCCGGAACATTTTCAAAAGTTAANCTAAATACAGGGGAGATTAAAAACATAAAAATGCATATAGAAAGTAGAACTTTTTCAACGTAACTTTTGAATGTGTTCCGGAAGGTCTGACACTTTTATATATATCTTAAATTAAAGCTAATGTAATAT